AAATAGCGGCAGCACAAGGTGCACCACCGTTAGTTGCCCCTGGGGAACCAAGTGTCCATACATGTCTGGACATGGCCAAGGAGTTGAAAATTAAATGCATTAAGAAACAGAGCAGCTTCATTTGACACCAGGCACTATTTCTCGCACACAGCCCTTTCCAATGGTGTACCATAATTAACAGTAATTTTTCACTAGCAAAGGGATTGGTTCTGATCTTATGAAAACCCAAAAAGGCTAGGACATGACTATTTTAGGGTACACCTACAATACTGATATTTTCTAAGGAATACTGGAATTGGCTTAACTGAATTAAATTACATCCATAATACAGATCCAATTTTAGGTAATAATCAGACTGCTCTATATCCTCCATAACAGTGTCTACATTAGTTTAATGAATTAATTTTACTTAGGGTTACCATATTTTCAGTTTCAAAAAAAAAAAAAAAAGGACACCTGCCAGGCAGGCGGGGGGCAGGGATATGATTGTGAGGGGGCAGTGATATGCCAGTGCACTGCCCCTGCCCACGGAGTTGCCCCTCACCCTGGGCCCTGCTGCTGCCCCCCACTCCCAACCCACAGCCCCTGGCCCTGCCAGTGCCCCTCACACCGACCCATAGTATCCCACCCCCCAGGCTCACTCCCAACCCACAGTCCTCCGTCCCCGCTAGTGCCCTTGACTCCTGACCTGCAACCCCCAGCACCGCTAGTACCCTGTACTCCCGACCTACAGACCCCTAACCCCTCCCCCTGGTGCTCCTCACTCCCAAGCCACAGCCCCTTCAGCCCTTCACTCCCAACCCACAGTCCCCTGCTCCCCCGAGCCCTGCAGTGTCTCCTGGCCACCCCATCCCTGTGAACAAGGGCAACAGCCCTGATGCTGCAGATACGGCCGTACAGCTCCCCACTGCCTGCAAAGGCCTCCTGACCCCTTCCCCCACTGGTGGGGCAGGTGCTTCCATCCCTGCCCCCTCTGCGCTGCTGCAGACCCAGTGCTTGGATAGCATCCCCCAGCACTAGCAGGCACCTGCCCCCCTCACACACCCATTCCCTCCACACACCCCTGCCACCCCCCCGACACACAGACTCACAAGACCCGCACAGCCCCCAAGCCCTGGTTGTCCAACCCCCGCTCCCCAGACTTACCTGCAAGCAGCTGCCAGGGCTGCTCCTACTGCTCTGCCTGGCTGCATGCCAGCCACATGTGTGTGCACATGCATACAAACATGGCGCCCCCTGCCTCCAATCACCTTATCCTCACTCCTCCCAGCCCCAAGCAGCTCCTTGCTACAGCAAGCTGGGAAGTGCCAGGAAAAACTTCGATGCTGAGCAAACCAAAATCCCAGACATTTGTTCATATTTTAAACAACACTGGATGGACAGAGATAGGAGGACACAAAAAGAGGACATGTCCAGGAAAATCCGGATGAATGGTAACCCTATTACTACTTCTTAGAAAATACTCGTAGGATAGTCAGACGTTCCCTTCCAACCACAATTTTTATAGATGTTGTCTAGGGCATTCAGGTTAACAGCTTCCAACATATGTTCCTGGAGAACATAATCAAGGAAGTATTTCTGTTTCCAATGCTGAGGCTTTGCACTAATTTGTGCCATCCATATTTCCACCAGTACACATTTGTACTGTAAATGTCAAGATTTAGCGAGTGCAGCCAGGGCTGCCCCGGGGGGGGGTGCAAATTGGGGTGACTGCCCCAGGCCCCACGGTCAGTGCTGCATAGGCCTCACCATGGCTGCCATGCACTGCCAGCTCCGGCCACTCACCCCCAGCTCCACCTGCTCACCACCCCATCCTCAGGCTGATAGGCCCCAGGCCCCACACACCTCTAGGCAAGGCCAACCTAAATAGCATGTGGGGCCCCAGGGCAAATCAGCCCATGTGGAGCACCTCCTCCGCTTCCATCCCACCTGCCCAGGACCTGAAGAAGCTGCCGTCACCATTGCAGAGGGGGGGGGTAGCAAGCAGCTGAACATGAAGCCAGTGGCGGGGGGGGGG